GCCTCCCTTAGATGACCACTTTAACCGGTTTGTAATCACAGCTTCTAACCACACAGATCTAAACATTTATGGCAACATTTATTGGTCCATCTCCCTTGTGACAGCTAACTCTCACTAGGTGCTCACTGTGTCAGGCACTGTGATAAGCGTTATACATCTCATTTATTCCCCAAAATCAGATCCATTATTATTCCTATTTTACAGACAGGCCACTGAGGCTGGGAGAAGTTGAGCAGTTTGCCCTGCCTCACAGCCAGGAAGCTGCGTTGGAATCCAGCCAGCCTGACTCCAGTGCCTACTCTTCCAATGATTCCCCAACAATATCCTACCAGGTTTCCCTGCCTACAGTTGACCCAGTACCTAACAGACCCAGAACAGGGTGATCTTCCCAAACACAACTTAGTTCATGTCACGTTGCTGGTTAACATCCTTCGACGGCATGCCCCATCACCAACAGGCTCAAATAGCATTTAAAGCCTTTAGGAACCAGGCTCCTGCCAATTCCTCCCATCTCCTCTTCCACCTCTTCCTCCCCTGCCCGCTCCGGGAGCTTCCAACAGCGCTCCCCTTCCTGCTTCGCCCCTGCACTCCTGCGGATCTCTACTATTCCCTCCCACTCCCACCGGGAAAACGCCGGACAATCTTTTGTGACTGCTCAGGAATCCTCTACTCCAGAAGGCATTCTCACCCCGCCCCGCCGTTACTTCGACTTAATGCTGAACTACCACTCCGAATTACATCATCCGTGTCCCCAACTCGAAAGTGAACTCGGTGAAGGCAGGAACATTTCACTGCGTAGCCCTAGGGCCTAAAGTCAGACACACTCCAACATACATCGCTGTGAACAAACGAGCCGAACTCTTTCTCCAAACTTTCTCATTCACCCCCCGTTCCTCCTCCCCATCTACTAAACCCAAGAAGACGCTGAGTCGGGGCCACAAGCCCTTCCACCTCCTTCCGCACCTCCTCCTCGGCCCTCCCCCTGCACCAGTCTCAGCCTCTCGCCGGGTCCTCCCCAGTCTCCCGCGCTCCAGCGCCTGCTCCCAAACCGCGGACACACATCGACTCTGCAAAAGTTTTCTCAGTGCCTCCAGGACTGCAAGCACTGCGGCTCCAGAGGCGAGGAGCCGCGCTTCCACCCTCGCCCCCACCTAGCGACCCCGGCCGCGGCCCCTCAGTTCCTGCCTTCCCCTCCCCCACCCCGCCGAACGGCCAAGGTCCGGCTCTTCCCAACCGGGACCGAGCGGCCGTGGCCCGGGCCTTCACCGCCATGAGCCGCCAACCCACGGCCTGCTCCCCGACCAGTCGCGGTCCCCACTCCACAAAAGACTCGGAAGCTCCCGCGCGGCCGGCCTGCGCCTCCTTACCATGGTGGCGGTTCTGATGGCTCCGATTCCCGCCGGATTCGCCTCCACAGAGGCCTAACCGCCTGCCAGTAGCAGCTTCCCGCCGCCGCTACCGGAAACGCGGCTGCCGGTAAAACCTGGTCCGGTGGAAAGCTGCTTCCGGTGCCGGCTCCCCGCTCTTGAGTTCCGGCCCAGACGCGGAGCTGGAGCCCAAAGCGGGGCGGGGCTTGGGTCGACGCTAACGTCTAACTGAACTCTGAGAGGCTCGGACGCCTTCCTAGTTTCAGTCCTTACACGAGCTGCTCTTCCTCACCCTCGTCCCCCGCGCCCCGGCCCACTACTCTCGGTCCTCTCATCTCCCACTCTCCCCGGGCTCTCTCCTCTACAGCCACTCCCCTGCCTTTCCGTGAACTTGCTCGCGTGCTCCTGCCTCAGTGCCTTTGCATTTGCTTGCCTCTGCCTGGAATGCTAGTCGTCCAGGTATGTGCACGGCTCATGCCCTCACCTTCAAGACCGGAGCGCAAATAACATTTTCACCCTGAGGACTTCCCTGGCCATCCTGTTTAAAACTGCAACCTTCCCACCAATCTCTGCTTTTTCTCCTTAACATCGATCCCTAACGTACTACAGATTTTTGCTCATTACTTTATAATCCCTCCCCATTAGAATGGAAGTTCCCAGACTATGGATTTTCGTTTATGTATCCTTCATTGCTATAGTGTCTAGAACACTGCTTAGCACAAACCAAAGGCTCAATTAATATTTGAATGAATGAATGAGTCAATCCATCCTGTCCAGTCCTATGACTTTTGAATAATACTGAAATGCTCAGGAATTTCATATTTATTCCTCTAAACCTGGTCTCTTCATTTAACTCTTGGCCTTTTATATCCAGCCACGTGCTTGGCATGGATGTCTAATAGGTATACTAAATTTAACATGTTGAAAACTGAATCCTTGATTCTATTCACTCTTCTTCCCAAAACCACTTCTTACCAGTGTTCCCCATCTCAGAAGTTTCTCAAGTTAAAAAACAAAAAGGAAAAGGACAAACTTGGAAACATGCTTGATTTCTTTCTCTCCCATCCCATAATCAATCTGTCAGCGAATCCTACAGACCTTACCTTCAAAATGTCTTGAATCTGAGTGTTGTCCCCTGCTCCACTGCTACCACGCTAGTCCTAGCCACCATCATTTCTATCTTGGATCATTTAACGAGCCCCTACCTGGTCTCTTGCTCTCACAGCAGCCAGACGGCTCCTTCTATAATGTAAGAATTATACCAGATGATGTCATTGCCCTGCTCTCCACTTCCCAATAACTTCCCAGCACATGTGGAATAAAATCCAGCCCTGCATCCCTCTCTAACCTCATCTCCTTCACTGTTCCCCTCATTCACCATCCTGCAGTCACACTAATCTCTTTGCTATTCCTCAGACCCAGCAAGGAAAGCTTCCACCTCAGGGCTTTGTAATCCTCACACCATCCCTAAGATGTATGTGCTGTCAGATGAAGAGATGGAGGCTCAGAGATGAATTATCTTGCCCAAGGTGGTAGAGGCAGAACAGGAATATAGTTCCATCTGGCTCCTCAGCTGTCCCTTTGCCACCAAGCCACCTCATAACATATCATTCATGCATTCATTTTAAAAATATTTATTTAGCACCTACTAATTCTGTTACTGGGATACAATGTCCCTTCCCTGAAGGAGCTTATGTTCTAGTGAGAAAGAAAGACAATAAACCAAAAGAATAAGTATACAAAGTACCGTGGAAGGGATATGAAAAAAAAACAAAGTAGAGTAGAAGGACTGAAAGTGATGGGTTGCAATTTTGGCTAGAATGATCAGAGAAAGCCTCTTTGAGGAGCGGCATGTGAGCAAAGACCTCAATGAAGTGAAAGACATTCTGGACATTTCTTTTTTTTTTTTTTCCTGGGAGAGATTCGCCCTAATATCTGTTGCCAATCTTCCTCTCTTTCTTTTTTTTTCTCCCCAAAGCCCCGGTGCATAGCTGTATATTCTAGCTGTGTGTCCTTCCAGTTCTTCTACGTGAGCCACCACCACAGCACGGCTGACAGATGAGTGGTGTGATTCTGTACCCGGGAACCAAACCCAGGCTGCCAAAACACAACGCACCGAACTTTAACCACTAGACCATCAGGGCTGGCTCAATTCTGGACATGTCTTACAAAGGGAATCATATCTTACGTGGTCTTTTGAGACTGCCTTCTTTCACTAGCATAATGTTTTCAAGGTTCACCCATATTGTGGCATGTATCAGTACTTCATTTCTTTTTATGGCTGAATCATATTTCATTGTATGGTTAGACCATTTTTGTTTATCCTGTCATCAGTTGATGGATATTTGGGTTGTTTCCACCTCTTGGCTATCATGATTAATGCTACTGTAAACATTTGTGTGCAAGTTTTCATGTGGACACATGCTTTCATTTCTCTTGGGTATATACCTAGAAGTGGAATTGCTGGGTCATATGGTAACTCTGTTTAACTGTTTGAGGAACTGCCAGACTGTTTTCCAAAGTGGCTGCACCATTTTACATTCCCACCAGCAGTGTAAGGAGTGTTCTGATTTCTCCACATCTTCCCCAACACTTGTTATTATGTGACTTTTGGATTCAGCCATCCTAGTGTGTGTAAAGTGGTATCTATCGCATTGTCGTTTTGATTTGCATTTCCCTGGTGACTAACGATGTTGAGCATCTTTTCATTTACTTACTGGCCATTTGTATATCATCCTTGGGTTATTTGTCTTTTATTACTAAGTTATAAGAGCTCTTTATGTATTCTAGATACAAGCCCCTTATCAGATATAAGATTTATAAACATTTCCTCTCATTCTGTGGGTTGTCTTTTCACTTTCTTGATAGTGTCCTGCACAAGAGTTTTTAATTTTGATGAAGTCTAATTTATCTTTTTTTTTTCTTTTGTTGCTCATGCTTTTGTTGCCATATCTAAAAATCCTTTGGCAAATCCAAGATCATGAAGATTTGGCCCTATGTTTTCTTCTAATAGTTTTAGTACTTACATTTAGATCTTTAATACATTTTTAGCTAATTTTTGTACATGGCATAAGGTAGGGGTCAAGTTTTATTCTTTTGTAGGTAGATATACAATAGTCCCAGCACCATTTGTTGAAAAGACTATTCTTCCCCGATTGAATGGTCTTCAATGGAAAATCAGTTGACCGTAGACACATGGTTTTATTTCTGACCTCTCAATTCTATTCCATTGATCTCTATGTCTATCTTTAAGTCAGTACCATTGCTTTGTACTAAGTTTTGAAATAACAAAAAAATGAGTCCTCCAACTTTGTTTTTCTTTTTCAAGATTGTTTTGGCTGCTCTGAATCCCTTGCAATTCCGCATAAATTTCAGAATCAGCTGGTCAATTTCTAAAAACAAAAAAGGGGGGGGTCATGAATGCCAGAGCTGGGAGTTAAATCGGCTGTTCATTTGGCCTTTTGTTTGCTAAAGTGTTCTCAAGGTTCAGTCTAGATTGGGGATTGGCAAACTTTTTCTGTTCAAGGTCAGATAGTATTTTGGGTTTGTGAGCCATATGGTCTCCATCACAATTACTTAACTCAATCCCTGTAAGTAGGATGAAAGCAACTATAGGCAATACTAACAAATGTGTGGCTGTGTTACAAATATAACTTTATTTATGAACACAAATGTATCACAAAGCATTATTCTTTTCATTCTTTTCAACCATTTAAAATGTAAAAACTATACTTAGTTCACAGGCCATACAAAAAGAGGTGGCAGGACAGATCTGTAGTTTGCCATTCCCAGATGTAGACCATCATATTTCTGGGTCTGGGTTCAGGGCCATAGCCCCAGCTGGTGCTGATAATAACTTTGACTTGCATTGTTTCTTTGGCTTATTGCTGTGTTCACTGAATAGATGCAGTCAAAAATTCACCTCTTTGCCTTCAAATAAAAACTGCACACATGCACATTCACATCTCTGTCAATCTGGGTCCAATGAGGAGACAGAAACCAGACAGTAATTTAAATGGGAAATTTAACATAAAGAATTATTATGCAATGATAGGGGAGCAACTGTAAATATCGAATGAAACCCTCAGCTGAGGGAGAGTGCTAAGGAAGTATAAAGCTGGAAGGAAGGTTCCCTCCCCAAGGCTGGGGTTCAGCCCTCACTGGAGAAGTTGCTACAGCCCACTGGATGGTGGAAAAGTCAGGGTAAGGGGGATTTGCACGGGCCAGAGCAGGTCTACCATCACCAGCAAGCAGGAATAACCCTCTGGAGTGCAGGCAACCAAAGCTGGTAGCCAGGTGCACAGAGGGAGCTGGATGGGCACAGAGGGCCAGGGTGTTGATGCTGACACAAAGCCTGGACCACACAGTGCCTGTGTCTGGAGGGCCGCAGCAAATAAACCTCTGGGGGGACAAGCGAGCTGAGACTGAAGGGCAAGTGAGCAGAGGAGGTCAAGGCACTGCTGGAGGCGCTGCTGGAAAAGGAGGCTGAGAAGCTGCAAGAACCTAGTGTACTTCTGTGCACGGCCTGGACTGGGGCAGCTCAGAGTGGCTGCTGGGGCCCTGGTGTGCATGCACAGAGAGCCAAGGAGAAAGTGTGGGAGCAGCAACCAGGCTGGGGAGGCTCTGAGCCTCTGCCAGGGATGAAGGCCAGGTGATCTGCTTGCCAGAGAGCCAGTCCAGTGGGGCCCCAGGGTGTATGCCTGTGGGGCTGAAGAGGGGGTGCAGGAGCAGTGAGCTGGGCTGGGGCACAGGCTTGTACTGTTTGCGCTCCCGACTAAGCCACCAGTGCCCGGGTGGACAGCTGGAGAAAATATAGGGTGCCAATCAGTGGAGAAAGCTGTGTCCTGCAGGCATTTAGCATGGGAGAAAACTGCGCTGGCTGAGGAGCCTAGTGAAAGAGCCACCTGAACCAGGAAAGAGGACCCCTTCCTCCTGTCACGTGGCTCCAGAGCTCGCTACTGATGAATCTCACACCACCAGGCAAATATTTAAAGGGCCCAGGTCCATTTTCACAAATAGGCAACAAAAGGTGAATTTGGAGCTGAGACAATATGCTGATAAGTGGCACCATCCCACATACACACAAATATATTCTACCACACGGGTCAGCACATGCAAGACTCAGATGCGGAAAGAGGATAGCCAGCTCAACCTACCTCTAGAGAAGGAAATATTCTTATGGTAAACACAGATAGGATGATGTTGGCTTTCCGCTTGGATTCTTGGAGTGATGAGAACTTTTTCTCCTTTGCAAATGTTTCTACTGTTAGAAAGCTGTGTTTGTGGGAGTCCTTTTAAATTCTCCCTTATCTTCTGCATCCAGGCAACCACCAAGTGCTTTGAAGACAACCCCTACAGAGTCCATCTTCTCTTTCAGTCCACACTCTTGCCATAGTTGTGCTGTAAATTTTGCCAGGGCAATTGCAACACTTCCTGCTTCCCAAATTTATTCCAGTCTCAGTGCTGGTCATCACACCATCTCTTTCTCTTACGTTTTCTCAGATTCCCTGCACTGTCTCTTCCAGATCTTCAACCTCCAGATAATTTCCGTGCCAATACATTCAGCAGAAAATCTGATCGGAAAGGTTTTCACAATTCTATTAGTCAGACACACCTCCAATATTGCACAATTTATTTATGCTACAATTTTGACGGGTTGGGCCCCCCTCTCAAAAGACAAGTAAACCTCTTTTGGTGGCAGTGTTTACAGACTAAGCGGAAGGTGCGGGCCCTGCTGCTTTTACCCAAGGGAATTAGAAGAGAGGCAGCTCAGACAAAAACTACTGTAAGCAGTATTAACATTCATAAAATTAGGCTCTCTTCCTCCCAGCCAAAAAATAGCTTTCTAGTTCCCAGAGGAAGTGGGGAGCAGGAAAAGGGGAACGGATGACCAGCAGCAGCGAGCGTTCTGTGGAGCCTGGTAAGCCAGGTAGGCTGGGACCCGCCCTAGGGGGCCACCTCAGCAGCAGCTGAGGGCGATACCTGAGCCTGTGTGTCCCTGGCTTGGTGAGATTTTCCAATCCTCAGCTGTTGCCCCCCAACTCAGACAGACATGGAATGCTTTCATCCTGTTTACAACACCGGTGGATGGAACTCTAAGAACCTTTTCTCATTTTAGGATTCTAGAACATCATGTTTCAAGCTGGCCCAAATTTCTCTTTAATTAAAGGGCAGCTGAGTGTTTGGCTATTCTCCAAAAGGACTTCTAGACTAAAACTGATGAATAGGGTATACCCGTTTTTCCAAAGGAAGGTGCTGGTTTTCTTGTTTGCATTTTCTCTCCCAATGGTAGGCATGGGCAAGGCCTTGGGGTCATCCGGAATGTAGAGGGCCTACCCACATACACCCGTCCCTCTCTGGCTTCCAGTTCAGACCAGAAGCAAAGCGTTGGTGTCACAGGGGTAGCTCTGGCGAAGGAGCACGAGGGGAGACGGGGGCGAGGGCGGGGCCCACACTTGGGGCTCACACCTGCCCTCGCCAGAGCTGACTCAGGACCCACTGGAAAGCTGACTTCACGGCTGAGGGAGTGAGTAGAGACCTTGGAGTCAGTGACGCCTTCAGACCCTCTTCTACTGCCCCCTCCTCTGCTGGGGTGTCAAAACCACTTCGCACTTTTTCTGATTTTCAAAGCCTGATGTCCATTTCATGAATCTGGCCAATTGGCAAACCAATTTGCTAGAGCCTAGGCAGACCCTCTCCAGTAAACAGTTACTGGCCCAGGACGTACAAGTCAGAGCCTGGGCCTGCGGAGCTGTCTAAAATCTGGGCAAATTGGGCTCTGAGGGAGCAGGACTAGGTATGGGTGTGGCTAAAGGGCCAGGTCCTTGGGCTCAGAAACAATGGCCACAGTACGGCTGGGCTGTCTTGGACCAGTTAGTAGAGGGATGATGGGAGGTGTCATTAGCAGGACTGGACCCTCGGGTTGGCAGGCTGAGGGGGCACAGCATTGGAGCTGTGTTCAGAGATCTTTAGACCTATGACCTGACGTGGGGAGTAGCTAAGGGGCCCAGAGCCATGATTCATGATGGATAACAGTTTGGGCCTGGCTAAAGGACCTGACCCTGGAATCTGGAAGGCTGCAGAGGGAGCATGCTTAAAGGGTCCCTGGAGCTGGAGGACGTGAACAGACCACTGAGGAACAGCAATGCTTGATGGGGTCGAGGATTCAGCAGAGATCTGAAAGAGATGAGAAGGAAGGAGAAAACCCAGGGAAGGGAGCTTGCACAGAAGTCAAAGGGAGGGATCAGGTAGGAGAAGAGGCAACCCAGCCCCTGGAGACCTGGGAAGTTCCCTCCCTTCAGCTGGCCTGTCTCCAGAACTTAAATCATCCTCCTCATGCAAAGGCTCCGATGCCCAGCAAACCTGTTAGATTGATTTGAGACTTATTTTTTCTTAAAAGTTGAATTAATGGAGGAAATCTGGGTTGTGAATGTGAATTCCTTTCCAGACAAATGAGAGACTAAGGTACAAAGCCTGAGCTCAGTAAAGATTTTACTAGAACAAAGGACAAGAAAACATGGGAAAGAACTGGTGTATGAAAATAAAACAAGTTGATCACTCTTAGATTACTTAAATAAAGCTTTCTACTTTTTTATTCCATCTGATTACAAAAAGTGAAAAGCATGTCTATGTAGTCATTAGTGCCATTTTCACACTCATACAGAGTATGGGGGTGGTCAAGACTTCTGAAACCCCCTCAGAGGTGCATGAGGTAGTGGTTTGTGGTGGCAAGACTCTGTCCTCTTCATCTGTTGAGGGGGCCATCAGGATAAAGCTCCACCCACACACCTTGCCCCACGGGTCTACTCACCTGGGTATGTCCTCTGCTGCAAGATGAGGTATGACTAACGCATCTCACAGTCTCCCTCCCTTCCTCCCAAAAAACCTGTTCTCTGATGTACACTGAGGTGTGCTTTTCCTAAGGCCTTGCCCGTTCTCCACACACACACAGAGCTTCTATGCTATGTACTCTGGGGTTTGTTGAGGGGTGACTTATAGCCAAAGCCTTGTCCACACTCCCTGTCAACTTAAGATGTCTTAGGTTGGATTCCCTGGAGAGACAGTGAGATGAAGAATTGAGTGGTTTATTGGGGAATGAGGGCAGGGCTGGGCAGAGGAAGAAGCTGACCTGCAATGTATTTGCAAACGAGAGATCATTCAGTCCGACGGGCACCTCTGGATCTGGGATGAACCTTGGGAGTTGTCCCAACTGAGTCAAGGGGAGTTTTGTCTACCCATATCACTCATTCAATGGCCAGGAGCCAGCCAGCCCTTGGGAAGGTGCAGTTCCCCGTGGCTGAGAACGAGTCCTAGTGAGGAAGTCAGCTCTGCAGCCATCAGCAGCAGTTATCTGGAGCGGCGTGGGCGCTGGCCCTGATAAGGTTAACTGGGCAGAGCTCCACAGTATCCCACAGAAGGATTCTCCCTGTGGCATGTGAAGAAGGCTGACTCGCCTTCTCACAAGAATCTCAAGATCACAAGAGCCTCGCCCACACTCCCTGCAAATATAGGGCTTCTAGTCTGAATGTATCCTCTCATGTTTGATAAGGTCTGACTTCTGGCTAAAGCCTCGCCCACACTCCTTGCACAAATAAGACTTTTCTGAATCTGTTTTTCTCATGTGTTGAGGTTGGACTTCTGACTAAGGCTTCGCTCACACTCCTTGCACACATATGGCTTCTCCCCTGAGTGTGTCCCCTGGGGGTTAATAAGGATTGACATCAGGCTGAAGCCTTGGCCACAGTCACTGCACACATAGGGCTTCTCCACTAACTGTGTCCAGTGGTGTCTGATGAGGGCTGCCTTATCTTTAAAGCCTCACCCACGCTCCCTGCAAACAGGGTTTCTCCTTGAAGGGGGTCGTCTGGTCGGTAACGAAGTTTGATTTCGGGCTACAGTCTAGTTCATGCTCTCTACAGTTGGCTGCTCCAGATCTCAAGATTTCTGATTCCTTCAATTCTTTGTCTGGTTGCACAGGGTTTACTCTTTGGGCTGAACTGGACTCTATTTCTACCACTGTGGTGACTTCTCTAGGACTTGCTGACGGTCCTTGGGGGGGCCAGAGAATGAGCTTGAGGTCTTTCTCCCCTCTGTCCCCGCACACAAGGCTTTGGAGCCGCCTTCCCTCGCTTGCCCTTCCGTGTATTCACTCCAGCAACTCTGAGCAGAATAATGCTGCTCCTGAGGCTCCGGGCCAGAATCCTCTGGATGGAAGTGATTTTCCACACATGAGCCAGGGAAGATCTGAAGCACATGCTGGCTGAGGAATTGCTGACAAGAGAATGCCAGCAGGAACAGGGGTAGATTTCTGGCTTTGGTTCTGCTGGAGAGAGAGTTTCCAGTTAGAGAAGTGCTAAGGGGTCTCCCGGGCTGCTCCGCCTTGTCTTAGAACAGAGGGTGTCTTCCTGCCACACGTGTAACTGATAATATGTGTACAACCTGATTTGTTTCTTGCCAATAATTCCTTTACATTCCATTTCTACACATTCCATTTTCTATAGTGATCCAGAAAATCCATGCCAAAAACATCTTCTACAGGTCAGCCAGACTAGGAACGTTTCAAGGAAGCAATCTGCTCTGTAAGCAGCTTCAATTATCCTTAGCCTTTTCTTCCTACTAAAGCGTCTAAGCCATCAACACTCACACTGACATATACTGTCCACAACTGGAGGTAACAGTCTCTGTGACCTATGTGGAAATCTTCTTCATCACTTTTCTTATTACAAAAAAGGGACTGATACACATAAAAAGTCACTCGATCTGAAGGGCTTCCAAACATAGGAGTCAGTATAAGAAACAGTGGTTGAACAGACTATATATGAAAGAAACCTGAATTTCATGTTGCCCATCTGCAAACAAATACTTATCAGAATTTTCTAAGTGTGAGGTTCTCTACCAAGTAGTGTGGATTCAGCAGTGGACAAGAAAGACATGGTCCATGATTTCAGGATTCTAGCACCTTGTGCCCAAACCAATCCATCACAACGACATGAGACTTGGCTGTGGCGTTTGCTTTGGCCAACGAAGGTTAGTGAAAAGTTAGTGCCTCTTTCAAACAAGCTTTAAGAGGCACAATGTGGTTCTATCATTGCTCTTTTGCCCTCTTTCCTTAAGAACCCCATGACCCAGATAGAGGTCTTTTGCTGTTCTTTTTGCCTGGATTCCAGAACCAATAGAGCTGAACCACGCCTGAACTGTAGGCAATAGGTAATATAAGTAAGAGATGAACATTTGCTATTATAAGCCACCAAAGTTTGGGGTTGTTTGTTATCACAGTGTTACCTAGCCTAGGCTCACTGAAATATCTCCCCTGTGAAAGCTTTAAAGATTATTTCAGGAGAAATTGGCCCATTTATTTCCAACAGTATCCTTGAAGAAGAGACATCACAGTAGGAATATGTGAAGAATTAGAGAAAGAGATTGGTTTAGGAGGAAAAATGGTAAGGTCTCAATTTTTGATAAGTTTGAGAATAAACTTGTGCTGTCTTGTAACCAAATAGAAATAAGAGGACAAAGCACAGGTGAGACAGTGACAGAGAAAATAAGTTCATTGTAATATGGGACAGGGAAAATTGTTAAAGTTCACAAAATTGTTTAAGGGTGTAAATATAGACACAGAAAAAAAGCATATGTGACACCAGTCCTGTGGATCCCTAGTCCAAAGAAAAGAGAAAGAAGAGAAAAGCCCAAAAGAGAGACATAAGAGGCTGGAGGACTGCAGAATATTGTGGTGTTGAGAAAGACAGAGGAAACAATGTCAAGAAGTGCAATTGGGATCCAGGCTTTCAATATCGAGACTAATCCAAACCAGGGCATTTTAACATTTTCCTCTGAAACCATTAAATGTATTAACATAGAAAAAGGGACTAATATGACCAGAGAAAAATGAACACAAAATCGAGTTAGAATGGCTAGCTAAGGCCAAAAACCAAAACACACATAACCAGACTGAAATGGATGAAGCCACACTTAATTACACGGAGCTCAAACTGGATAGAACCAAATCAAAACACATCAAAGAAGACGAAAATAGAACAAAGTTTCCCTGACTGATTCCCATCAGGAAAACAGCCATGCCGTTTAAGGAGACTCCTGCCTGAAGCTGGTTTGTGTCGCTAAAACTGTGGTTCTTCTCTACAGGCTTTCTCTAGAAACACAGGAATGGCTAGAACTGCACTATCTGACATGGGAGCCACTAGCCATGCTGACTGAGCACTTGCAACGTGGCCAGTCTGAACTGAAATGTGCTCTAGCTGTAAAACACATAAATTTTGAAGACAGTACAAAAAAAAGAGTAAAATATCAAATTAACTTTTATATTGATTACATGTTAAATGATATTTTGATGTTAGGTTAAATAAAGTACATTATTAAAACTAATATCACCCATTACTTCTACTTTTTTAATGTGGTTACTAGGAAATTTAAATTTACCCACACGTCTCCCATTTTATTTCTACTGAACAGCAGTGATCTGGAACAAGGGGTGGGGAAACTACAGCCCACAAGCTAAATCCAGTCCTCTGCCTGTTTTTGTATAGCCTACGAACTAAGAATGGTTTTTAAATTTTTAAATGGTTGGAAAAAAGTCAAAGGAATAATAATGTTTCATGACACATAAAAATTATGTGAAATTCAAAATTCAAAATACACAAATAAAGTTTTATTGGAACACAGCCTTGCTCATTTTTTTACGTACTGTCGATGGCTATTGAGCACTACAAGGGCCGAGTTGAGAGTGTTTACAGAGACGATATTGCCCAAAAACCTAAAATAGTTACTATCTAGTCCTTTACAGAAAAAGTTGGCCAACCTCGGATCCAGAGTAACGTCTCAATCAAAAATATTTATCAACCTAGATTTAAGGAATCAGCGTAAGTTTCTAAACAAAGGAAAAAGAAAAAAATACGGTTTACAAAACCCAAAGGCCATACAAAATTGGACATTTAACTTTAACTTCTGTCACAGAAGGGTTCTCTTACCATTCTCCTCCTCGCAAACTGTGCCTCCAGTCTCACTGGCTTTCTGGCAGTTCCTTATGCTGGGCAGGCACATCCTTTCCTTAAAGTCTTAGCACCAATGGTTCCCTCCACCCGAAATGCTCTTACCCTACATAGCCAGAGTTCTAACTCCCTCACCACATTATGTCTTTGGTCAAATGTTACCTCCTCACTGACTTCAAATCCCCAATTTTAAAATTCAGCTAGCCACCCTCTCACACTCGATTCTCTTTTAACCTGCTCTATTTTATAATTACTTTAAACTATGGAGCACTTATCACCCTCTAACATACCATATTATAATATCCCTGGATATGAAGCTTTTTGTTTGTTGTCTGTCTCCATACACTGGAAAGTAAGCCCCATGGGCAGGGATTACTATTTCATTTACTAATGTGTTCTAAGTGTCTAGAACATTTTCTGGCACATAGTCAATAAATCTCTACTGAATTAATGAAGGAAGGTACACAGCCTCACCCGACGAGAGCAGATTCCAGTAATTCTCCAGCATCACTTCTTTGTATAGGTTCCTCTGCTCAGAGCTCAGTCTCTTCCATTTGCCTCTGTGAAGACCACTGCCACATTCCTTAATGTAACTGGCATCTATAAACAAGCAATAAATTAATGGACAGCAAGTCACCATCAATTTTCCTAGCATGAGGAATGTATCTAGTGTCCCTGGAGTCTGGATACACAAGAAGTTGATCTAATTCTTTTCAGAGCACACAGTTCACCATATTAAGTTCTTCTGGGCATTACTATGGCTTTGTGTTAAAATCCAAGGGGAGCATAACTGATGCAGAAAGCACATTCCTGGCCGTCGGACACTTATGATTTCATTGGAGAAGCGATTTGTGGATCAATCTGGAAAAACCTCAAGCAGTGCTCAGGAAAGTGACCTTGAGGATCCGTTATCGAGGAATTCTGCGATGGAAGACACAGGATGGGCTGCAGAAGAAAAAGAGCATCATGGACATGGGTCTCGTGCTGGGCGTTAGGGGATGGAGAAGATTTAGAGGAGAAAACAGAAGAACACTCCAACCACACAGAAAAGTGGGAGCGAACAGCTGGGATCTGGAACAAGCATTTTTGAAGAGTTCAGGCCTATTAAGTGAGATCTGTAAAATCTCTCTCTTTGCCTAGTATTTTAATAACCTTTTAAAAATAAAGCTCCTAATGCTTCTCTCATCACGTAGAGCAGTATGCCATTTATGCGAAACAGCTGTCAGGGGAATGGCAGTAATCTTCAAGAAAAGGGGCATTTACAGATAACTCATAATGTTGAACAAAAGAAGCCAAACACAAATGAGTACAAATTACGTGTTACATTAATTTTAAAAAAATTAGAAAAATTATGATGTCACAAGTCAGCACAGAGTTATCCTTGGGGCAGTAACGACTAGAAGGTTTACAAGCATGGATGGTTCACAGTGGCAGTGTTCCGTATCTTGACTGAGGGGCTGGTTATGTGGTGGTGGTCACTTTCTGAAAGTTTACTGAGTACTTTTTTTTAACTATGCACTTTGCTACATGGATATTACACCTCAACAAAATTTAAAAACAAGCAAAACCTGGTTGGGTGGGAGATCATTCTTTCCTAATACTTAAAAGTGCTTCTTTCCCAGAAGATTGCTTACGATGTACAATGTTTGCCCACAGGCAATGGTATGAGATGAGGGCACTTTTCAGCTGTACATGCCCAATCTTGAGTGCAGTGGTAACCGATTAAAGTGCACGGGGGGCAGAAAGGATGTGATCCACATATTTTAATTCCTTGTGAGCTAAGTGTCCTGGATTTGCTTTCTCGAAAAGGACATTCAGTAGGTATTTAACTTGAAAATATTGGAGACACAGTGACTAGTAGTTGCCACACTGAATGTTCATGACTGAGGACCTGATCATGACGGTAACATCTGAGGGCTACACACAGCATGTCAGTACTTAGAACTCAGTATTACAGATGGAACTAAACACAAGAGGAATAAAAGGTTTTGCCCTGAGTATCCTTCCTGAAACTAATAATAGTACAAAGACTATAATTTTCATTCTCTGATTCCTATACAGTTACTTCTTATGACCTAAACAGTGGCGCCTGTGTAATCATCACACATTTGCATGGGCTTCCTCAACTTCAAGTGCATTTTAACTGTCAGTGGTAGGGCAACTGCCTTTATATTGGGTATTTTAGTTTCCTAAGAAAGAGAAAATTATAACCAAAATCTTTAGGGTAAGTTCAGTGTAACTCATCTTGAAAATAATTCCATATTTGAAAGACCATTTAGACAACATGAGCCTTGTTCTCCAACAGCCCAAAGACTCAATGATCTGCATTGCTCTTATTTTGCCGGGTTCCCGTGCCAAAGACACCTTGAAGTGACCTTGACTCTTCTCTCTCATCCACACCTTATCCCCAGCTTTTTCCATTCATTGATCCCCTTTGCCCAAACACTGTAGATGGCCTCCATATGCTTCAGATTGACATTCAAGGCCTGCCTGCACTCGGCTTCTCCCAATTAGCAAAACCTACCTCTCTCTTTCCTGTAATCAGGTCTCCCTGCTCCAGCCAGGTCTGGGTCCTCACAGTTCCCTGCAAATGTCCTGTTTGCTCCACCTCTTAGTTTTAGTCATGATGGCTTTCTATCTGAATATATCATTCCTATTTCTTCCTACTATGTAAAAATCCACTTATCCTTCAGGATCAACTCAAATCTCACTACTTTCAAGATCTCCCAAAGCCATCCCCGAGGGCCTAATGGTTAAAGTTTGGCGTTCACTGTTTCAGTGGCCCCAGTTCACTTCCTGGTCATGGAACCACACCACCCATCTGTCAGTTGCCATGCTGCGGCAGCAGCTCAGATAGAAGGACTAGAGCAACTTACAACCAGGATATACCACCATGCACTGGGGCTTTGGGGAGGGAACAAAAAAGAGGAAGACTGGCAACAGATGTTAGCTCAGGGCAATCTTTCCCCACACACACAAAAAAAGACGACGACCTCGCAGCTTACTCTCGTCTACAAAAGTGTCTTCATCTTATAAATACTTAGGACATTTATATTTTATAGACTTTGGAGAAAAAAATTTTTCTAAAATCTGGAAAAAATGTTACAGGTTACTAGAGCATACTTCAATCAGCTTCCTGGAAGGAAAGCAGGGCATGCAGCTTGCTTGGCTTCCTCCTCCCAAGCCCATCTGACATTCTCTGGGACTATAACTTTGTGTCCACAGTGTATAACCTGATGAACAACCCATAACCAATATGGGGAGGATGAATTTTTAATCCAATGAGGTTGTAATCTAACACATAGAATGGAAAAGTTGTTTTCATTTTACTTACCAGGAAAATTTATTTAGGCTTTCTCTCATTCTCATATTCGTATATTCTTTCTCTTTCTCTCTCTCCCTCTCTCTCTCTCCGTCTATCTACCTGTATAATTCTTTGTTGAATATTGGACATTTTAGGTAAAATATTGTAGTAACTCTGGATACCAACCCTGCCTCCTCCCCAGGCTGTTGCTGTGGTCGCTTGTTCATTTGTTTTGTGACTTGTTTGGACTGGTTCAATAAGGGCTATTTCCTCTGAAGATGTGACTGCTCAGATGGTGCAGCCCTGGACATGCACAGTCACTCTGACCCTCCCCCTCCAGAAATGACAGTCCTTTTAGTTGCGCTCTCTTTGTGTCTCTCCTTGATGTCCCTGTTAAGCTTCTGGCTGGTCCGCCTCTATTGGTATCACACCCAGCTGTTAGCCTCCACGAATCGCTGGCTGGTTGCTCTATTAGTTTCAACCATGTCCCTCGGTATAAAGGGCTGATCCAATTAAAGTCAGGCCCTTTTGCAGGGGTAGTTTTGAGGCCAGTACGTGAGACTTGCTCTGACCCCAGCAAGGCTCTTCTCAGCTCTCTCTCTCCCTGGCTCTCTCTGTTAAACTTCTAGCTGATCTACCATTTTGCTTGTTGTCATCATGCACCTGCCAGCTTCCTCTTTACTGCTCGCCACCAAATCTCTGTTGTTTTTAACAGCACCCTTAGGCTTCGACTTCCCTATGCTCTGTTCCAAATAAAGCCAGTCCCCTTAGGCAGCACTGTACTGGTCTCTGTTCTTACAGCCTGCCTCTCCCCCTGGGCAGGACCTCTGCACCGCTGCTCAGGAGCTGGCGGCAGGACCAGCAGCCACTTCTCAAGAGAGACCCTTCTGCTCTAAGAGCGGGTCCCTGGGCAGAGGTTTGTTTTTATCATTTTGGTTATTTCACTGGCCAGAGTCTGTGGAGCTCCTCATACCACCATTCCAGAAGTGCTTCTCCTGGGTCCTCTGAGTTTGACTGTCAATCCACTATGAGTGGCTGGACATTGGTTTCAAAGCTTTAGGCTAGGACTTTGCAGTGACTTTCACTGCACCATTATGTAACCATTTCAACCATTATAATAAAAAATCACTATTACTGTCATCATCTTTTGTTTTTATACATTATTTTTCCAAAGAACCTGTAGGCTTGAGGATAAGGATAGTGTATTTATAAATGTATTGGTTTGGCTTACAGAATCTCACACAACCCATTCAAATGAAAGAATACATCAAATTTCTGGTAGAGGAGAGAAGATTGAGGGGGGATTGGATTGGGGGTGAAGCACTGTATCTAGAGAGAGCATTCTCTCTGAGTCAGTCATCAAATAATATAGGCCCCTTCCTGAGGGTTGGAAAATATGCTCCCACATTTTTAGAAGGGGATTTATGTGGCAGCAAGAAGGTTATACAATACTTTAGAAGATGCAGGAGCTTACAAGTCAGAGAAAACTGAGCTTAAATCCTGGCTCCTCCATGTACTAGATGAGTGTGGCCAGACACAAATCACACACCCCCTTGAGCCAGACTTTCTCCTTCTGAAATAAGTACTATTACCACCACCACTACCTTCTCACAGCTATTGTTAAGAAGTATGGAGAGGGGCTGGCCCCATGGCCGAGTGGTTACAGTTCCGTGCGCTCCACTTCAGCAGCCCAGGTTGGTGGGTGTGGATCCCAGGCACAGACCTACTCCACTCACCAGCCATTCTGTGGAGGCATCCCATATACCAAATAGAGGGAGACTGGCACAGATGTTAGCTCAGGGACAATCTTGCTCAAGCGAAAAAAAAGGGAAGATTGGCGACGGATGTTAGCTCAGGGCGAATCTTCTTCATAAAAAAAGAAAAATTTGTGGAGAAATGTTATGACATCTGAGATCTGTTTAAATACAATGAGGGAAGTGTGAGGGGTATAAATAAAATAACATTGGCCGTTATACATGACTACTGAAGCTAGATGATGCTACCTGAGACCCATTATTGCTATGCTCTCTATTTCGATATATGTTCAAAAATTTCAATGAAAAAGTAAAAAAAGCCCAATGAGCAATATCATTAGATAGTGTGGATGGGAAGTGAAATTTAATAGTACATTTAAAAATTTTAATTGTCTCAGTTTTTCAAAAATATTCCTTATGTTTAAAAGTTTCCTGGACTCTTAATATTAATCTTGGGTATATTTTTCAACAAAGAAAATAAAACGCACAAATGCAGGAACGATTATAAAGTGATTGACACAGTACCTGGCCCAAGCATGACCTGCCTAAATGCTGATTGCCTTTCCCTTCCCAAAAAAGAGAATACATGCCTGTTCTTGGGGAAACAACCCAGCATCTCAGGAAAAAAACATAACCCCAACTCACCAGTATTGGGGGCTTTCCCTCCTTTTCTTGCAGCCAGTCAGTATCGTTAGGAGGCAAACGCAGTTGAAGAAAACACAGCTGGGAGACCCAGACCCCCCATTCTGCGCCCAGAGGAGCTCCCCTAAGCCTTGCCATGGAGGAGGCAGCCCCTTTACCAAGCTGTGGTCCTAAAGCACTCTCAGCGGAACCTGGAGCCCTGCTCCCCTCTCCACCCCTCCAGATCCTCAGCAACTCTCACCTTTGGCCTTAGGATTCTGAGTCAATTTCTTCATGCTTTCCATATCTTCCCTGTTCTCCAAAGGCAAAATCTCCTCCCGGTCCTGCTCTCCCCAGGCAGAAGGATCAGGCAATGTCATGGCCCCAGAGCCAGCCCAGCGTTTGCCTTGAAATTCTGCCAGAGGGCCAGGTAGAAGGTATTTCATCTCAAGATGGATTTCTGCTGCCTGGGGTGACTTCCGAACCTGACTTGTAAACGCCCATCCTGTTTCCAAGAAGCCAGGACCTGTGGAATGGAGAAACAATTTGACGTAGCTAGGACCGTTATGGCAGGCCCTCAGCCTCTGCCTGCTCAGCAGGGATCCTGTCCTCTCCCACCGTCCTCATCCAACGAATGTGGAGTCTCAGTCTATGCGGGTTCCTTGGATTTTTTTACCTCACTCCTTTCCCTCAAGTCTGTCCCCCCCCACTCTCCCTTATCTGTCAAAATTTACTATTCCCTCCTCAGATTCAAACTCCATGTCCTGTATCAGTCTCTGCTACTTGAAGCCTGAGTCAGAGAGAAGACACAGCAAAATGTCTTTGGAGACAGAGCCTCAGAAGGTCTCATTCCAGACCGATTGGGGCATGCAGACCTCAGGTCTGACTGCCCGGCCAAAGGTTGCAGCTGTGTTCGCCCCCCTATGTCCCTGTCCTCTGAGGAGTTTGGGAGGCCTAACCTGAATCCTTCTCAGGTTAGGTAGAGCTCCAGGTCTCACAATGACTCTGTAAAACAACCCCTCACCTTCTGTTGTGTGTGTGCACCACATGCTTTATCAGAGATACGCACTGTGTCTCCCGATGGGCCCTGGCTAAAGTCCTCCACTCACGTGATCACAAAGCAGAAGCAACTCAGACACCCTGTCCAGCATCTCAGCCCAAATGGTTGCAGACCTACTATTGCTAAGTTCCCTTCTGAGGCTGGCTAGGGCTCCCTTAAGATGCGCTTGTGATTCATCCCAACACCAAAGGCAGAGATGGCCACCCTCTCTCCTGTGCAACCTGGGCATCTCACCGTAATCACAACACATCACAATTTTTCTATTCATATGACTATTTCTACCAGAATGTAAGCTTCTTGTAAGACGAAATACTCCTCAGTCATTTTGCTAATCCTAGTGACTAGACTAAAATAAGCCTTTGTGGTAGATTTTATTACTTTTCCCAATTACTGGTTTCTCTGTGATAAGATTGTACTTCCCTGTCCCTGACATCAGGTTTGACCTTGAGACTTGCCTTGGACAATGAAATGTGAGTGAAAGTCACTTCTAAGCCTTGCCTGATTCCACCATCTGCCATGTTCTCAAAGCAGCATGTTCCCAAAAGGGGTCTTGGTTCTACTGTAAAATGTCACGGTGCAGAGTTAAAGCTGACCCACATGGAGGAGGACTAAGACTGGGCTGAAGGTTAGATTCCCGTGTGAGCCACTGAGATTGGGGGCCGTGCTACTGCCGTGCAACTTAACCTAAGCTGGAAAATACAGCCCTCTCCCTCCCACTAATACTAGTATGTGTAGCCAACATTCATAAAACAGGCACTGTACTAAGTGCAGAGTTCCACGAAATCTTCACAACACAGCCAAGAGGAAGACACTGCTATTCTTTCCATCTCACAGAAGAGGAAACCAAGGACTAAGAGCTTGGTTTATCTGTCCTTAAGATCACACAGCTACCGGGGCTGGCCCTGTGGTCGAGTGGTTAAGTTCGCGCGCTCCGCTGCAGGCGGCCCAGTGTTTCGTTGGTTCAAATACTGGGCGCGGACATGGCACTGCTCATTAAACCACGCTGAGGCAGCATCCCACATACCACAACTAGAAGAACCCACAACGAAGAATATACAACTATGTACCGGGGGGCTTTGGGGAGAAAAAGGAAAAAAATAAAATCTTAAAAAAAAAAGATCACACAGCTACCAAGTGACAGAGCCAAGTCTAGAACCCAAAATTCTCACTCCAAAGCCCTTTTTATTCCCCATTGCCTAAAATAGTGCCCAGTGAACAAATGCCTAAATGAAAAGGCAAAGAGTAAGCAGATGTCCACAGGGTTCAAAGTTCACCCTGAAGAAGACAGGAGCCTCAGAGTGAAGTGGAGAAAGGGGTCTGTATCAATCAGGATGGGCCCAGTTATTCTGTAGTGACAAGTACTCCCCCACAAAATCTCAGCGACTTAAAAGTAATGAAAGTTTATTTCTCACTCCAGCTCCACGTCCATCATGTGTCAACTGTAATTGTGCTCAAAGTCATCTTCACTCAGGACCAAGGCTAACGGTGCAGCCTCTGTTCAGAACATGGCTAGCAGGAGCGGCAGAGGGAAATGAAAGACAGAGCGCCATACTCAGCCTCTTAAAAACTCTACCCAAAGTGACACTTCTGGGGCCAGCCCAGTGGCGCAGCAGTTAAGTTCGCACGTTCCGCTTCAGTGGCCTGGGGTTCACTGGTTCGGATTCTGGGTGTGGACATGGCACCACCTGGCAAGCCGTGCTGTGGCAGGCATCCCACATATAAAGTAGAGGAAGATGGGCACGGATGTTAGCTCAGGGCCAGTCTTCCTCAGCAAAAAGAGGAGGATTGGCAGCAGATGTTAGCTCAGGGCTAATCTTCCTCAAAAACAAAACAAAAAACAAAGTGACACTTCTGACCATAGCACATAAGCAAACCATGTCACATGGTCACTCTTGAGTTCAATAGGAGAGGCCATACAGGCAGGGCGGGGGGAGTGGAGGATGTCTGATAAACAATGACACTCTACTACAAAGTCCCAAGCCCATAAACCAATTCTCACCCAGGCCCAGTCCTCATTATGGATTAGGACATAAGTGTGCTAGGATCTGTGGCTGTGCCCAGGACACAAAAATAAAAGACACCGTCTCTACCCTTACCATACTATCAGAGAACAAGCAAGGATACTGACCAGGAAAATCCTAACTCAGCACAGAAAGAAGAGGACTCTATCAGGGAAGATCCACAGAAATGAAAAGGATGCTGCTCTTTAGAGCATGAGATGAAGTCTGCCCATCCGGCCAAGAAGCACACTCCAGGCAGAGGGGTCAGTCTGATCAAAGATCAAATGGCGGGGGACGGGGGGGAGGGGTACCAAGAGAAATGGGTAATTTCCTGGGTGAATATAAACTGCCTAAAATGAAGTTAAAGGAAAAAAATGAACAAATTATTAACCAAAAAAGAAAATGAAAAGACAGTCAAAGATCTCTTCCAAAGGCAGCAGCCTCAGGCAATTTTATTGGTCACTTTTTGTAAAACTTTGAGGAATAGGTCATTCCTGTAATAAATATTAAGTGCCCAAACACATTAAAAAAAAAAAAGCTTCCTAACTCATTCATCAAGGACACCAAAAGCAAGCAAGAACACAACAGAAACAGAAAACTAGAGGTCAATTCCACTTATAAAAAACAGATACAAAAATCCTAAATAAAACACGTGCAAACAGAATCCAGCTGTACCTTAAAGAAGTAATAATATATCACAACCAAGCAGACTTTACCCCAAGAATGAAAAGACAGAGGCCCACCCCGTGGCGCAGCAGTTAAGTTCGCAGTCCACTTTGGTGGCCTGGGGTTCCCCGGTTCAGATGCCAGGTTGCATCCCACATACAAAATGGAGGACGATGGGCACAGATGTTAGCTCAGGGCCAATCTTCCTCAGCAAAAACAGGAGAATTGGCAGTGGATGTTAGCTCAGGGCTAATCTTCCTCAGAGGAGGGAGAAAAAAAAGAATAAAAGGACAGTTTACCACCAGAAACCCTACAATGGGCAGGGGGAACTTCAGTCTTTTAGTAAACTGATAATTCAGAATACTTTTACCTGAGAAAACCTTCTTGTTGAAATATGAGCCAGGTGTTAACATTTTGCCCTATTTGCTTCATCACATCTATGCATTCATTTAGGTGGGTATGCGGACATTTAGTGCAGCAAACCTTTAAGCTTTTCCGTTTGCATGAAAAACGTCACACAAAAACGTTGGGGAAAAACTGGATCCAAAAAGACTTAAATATTTACAAAATATACAATGAGTGTAAAAAATCAACTGCTTATTGCTATTTCCCAGAGAAATGAATTTAACTGTCTCATTTTCATTCCAAAGGTAAATAATTATCTCTCTCACTACATTATAAGCCACTTCAGAGATGAAAAGCTATCTATGGCCATAAAAATAGTATAATATGAAATCTGTAGAAAATAAATATTGTAAGTCCAACCTGCATCATAAAATTCTATGTCTCAACAACACCTCAGGGATAGGATTTTCCATTAGTGCCATCTGATTCTAAGAGGTGTTCCAGAGATGGCAAATGATCTAATTTATACAGTACATCCAGATGAATTTCACTTTCTCTTTGTGTTTGCCAAGTCCATTGTGACAAATCTATTCCCTCACAAAAATACAAGTATTTGAAATATACAATCTTCTTTAGGCTTCTGTGGCATTACAGAAAAGTCAGGCTAAAGGGATCTCATTTCCAGCTAACCACATGATATAACACAAGAACATTCCAACTACCTTTAAATTCTTGGTCAGAATTTTCTCTCCAGACCTCTCCAGCTCTTACATTACTTATTTGTCCCACTGCCAGTAACGAAGGCGTTTTAAAGTGCATCATCCCTGTATTGGTAGGTTAAAGATGGCAATTCAAACTTGGTAACTGAGGAGAGTTTAGTAAAGTACTCTTTAAAAAGGTGTGGGGCGCGTCAGGGAAAACAAAAGGATGCTGTGGCAGCATGGACACTCACAAGACCAGAGGGTCTTTACCAACCCCAGGTCTAAAGGTGGGGGGGAGCAGTTACCAGACTCAGGAGCTAGAATCCTGGAAGGAGGGTTGCTTGACAGAAGTTCTGGCTTTCAGCAGAGGTACACAATGAGCTGCGGTGACCCAGTACAGAGGCAGCCACAGGAATAAAACACGCAGAAACAACAGAGATTAGCAAAGCTACCTGAAGCAAGTCTCCTTCTAAAACAAATGAGTACTTACGGGACACTCCCATTCTATCAACCCCTGTGAACTAGAGAAACAGGGGTTTTGAAGTAGAAGAAAGCAGATATTGACGTGATACTGAAAAGGTGAGGTAAAAACCCAGTAATCCTAAAATTGGATTGGAAATATCAGTATGAACTCACGAGGGATTTCTTAGCCATGTCCACTGCAAAAGTCTAGGAACAATGATCAATTCCGTTGTAGGGACTGTCTGTATTGCCCAGATTGTGGTCCTGAATGACCATTTAAGAAACACACGCTTGCAGGAAAAATGGCTGATGCCAAATCTGGTGCAGGAAATGTACAAGATGAGCCTAGAATATCTTGACATAGCAGAAGGCCAAGATGTTTACAAAGACGCCTTAGATTCCTATCAAAATGACTTAGGAGCTAGCTAGATAAGACTCCCAGGGGCCACAGACTGGACAATGTTAGTTTTAATAAGAACAAGATTTGCAATAGATTGAAACCCATCAGACGTGTTTAAATTCATGAGTTCGTAATAAATTCTTTTTAAAGGTCAACTTCTAATGACAAGTAACCAATCCATTAGTATTTTGAAATCTAGATAAATAAAAGCTTCAAGCATTTAATCTCCTTCCCTATATGACTGTGCCACTGGGTAATCAAACAGCAGATGAGGTGAAGTGTCTCTTTATAATATTATTCCAGCTAATACAGCAAAACGACAGAATTAGCATATCACCATTTTACACTCCCCAGAGAATTAACAGATCTAGGCATTAAGTATTAAGAAGAGCTAACATCAAAAAAGAGCAAAAATCAGACATTCTTTGCATCCTGATAAAAGAACACAACATCACTTAGAATCCTTTCAAAGCAATGGAACCTGAGTCTGATGAAGCTCTACGCCAAACTGTCAATTTGGGGGAAATACAAAAGAAGGCTTTAATCTTCACTAAGAGGATGTAATCAGCAAAACCCAGCCTGCAGGAAGCTCTACATGTCAAATGGCCTGGGTTCTTCAACAGACAAACGGTAAGGAAAAGGAGGAAGGAAAAACCTGTAGATTAAAAGAGACTTTTTAAAAAATCATTAGGCTTTTTTTTTTAAAGCTAAACTATAGTGTTTGGGGATGCATACTTGGCTGATTGACCTTAAAGAAACTCAAGGGAAAGGTTACTTTTGGAAAAGAAGAAAAAAAAGTGGTGATTGGGATGGAACAAATGGAGGGACATCTGGGGGAAACCAGCACAGTTCTATTTCTCGACCTAAGTGTTCACCTTACACTAATTCTACACTATACATCTCTTTTGTGTGGTTTATTTCCTGAGTTTTATTTTATAATAAAAAAGAAAATACATAACAGCAAAGAAAATAAAACTGTGGTGTTAGTGCAGCAGTAGACAGTAAATGGAACAGAAGAGAGAGTGTACGTACAGACAATGGTAAATACAGCATTTCAACAGTCAGGAAAGCATGGCCTCATCACAAAGGGTTGCGACAAGCTGCTATCCAATTGGAAGTCAGATTCCTAGCTCACACCTTACATAAAAATAAATTCCAAGCAGAGAAAGAGCTAAACATTAGAATCTAAAATATCAACATTTAGAAACACACAGGAGAATATACATAGGAAGCTAGGGAAGGGCAGACCTACTTTAAAAAGAAAAAACATAAAATCCAGAAGCCATTAAGGAAGAGGGAGATAAATTTTACTATGTATTAATTAAAAACTTTAAACCAAAGACAATTTTAGGAAAGCGGGGGGGGGGGGGGGGCAAAAAATATGTGTGTTTAATCTTTGACTGTCTTTTCATAAAAAAAAAATACTGGGAAGATACATAGGAAATTAACAAAACTGATTATCTATGAGAAATAAATTTGTCTTTATTTGCATGGACATAATTGTGTTCTACAATCCAAAAAATCAAAATAAGAACTAGAACTAATAAGTAAATTTAAATTTAGCCAGGTGGCAGGATATGAGGGGTTAATAAACAAACATTAATTCTATTTTTAAATACTAGTCAGAAACAATTGGAAAATTACATTTAACAAACATTTCCAGGGGTCCGGCCCCAGGGCCTGCTGGTTAAGTTCGGTGTGCTTTGCTTTGGCAGCCCAGGTATGAGGGTTCGGATCCCAGGCACGGACCTACACCACTCACTGGCCGTGCTCTGGAGGCAACCCACATATAAAATAGAGGAAGACTGGCACAGATGTTAGCTCAGGACTAATCTTCCTCGAACAAAAAAAGAGGAAGATTGGCAACAGATATTGGCTCAAGGCTAATCTTCCTCAGCAAAAAATAAAAATAATAATAATTAAATTAAAGTCCTGATATTTGGGCCCCATCAGATGCCAGAAGTAATTTGAATAGTCGCCCTAGTGTTCTCAGAGACACCCCCCTACCTAACCCTTCTAAGTCCCAAACCAGAGGTTTGACCCCAACACATAAGGGAAAAGCAGACAAGAAAAGGGGGAATCAGCCAATCTAGTCACTCCCATTTCAACCAAATCTGGGATCTTTGCCACAGAGTGCGCCCCTGCACCACGACAAACCCTGAGAAAAATGTCCCAGAGAAGCAGACCCGCCCCCACTCAAAAAACTGCCTAGACTCAGGCTCTGACGGTGCAGTCCACGCCACTGGAGCATGTCAGTCCCAGGCCAAAACCTCCCCCACCCCCTAAAAACTCCTGGGACTCCAGACCCAAGACACTCCTCACGACCCCCTGGAGATATTTTGCCCATGTCTAGCTCACCTCCACCCACCCCCAACAAACCAAGGCACGGCAGGACCCGAGATGCTCTCCCCGCCAGCCCGCCCCCGTCCAGCCCCACCAAAACAAAATGACATTTACGATCAGCCCTGCGTTCCCACCACCATTCGGAGATGCAGGACCCAAGCAAGTGCTTACTTGCTAAAAACACCCGGGGATATATGGCCCGAGCCGCGCCCCCATCCCCACCACAGAGGATGTTTGTCTATCTGGCCCTGGCTGAACCCAGCCCCACAGCCCAAAGAAACCCCAGGGACGCACGCTGGAGCGGTCCCCCTATTCGGAAACTGTTTGGCCCAGAATATACCCACCTCCTCAAAAAAGAAATTAGAGTTCCAGGTCACTCGCCCCAGCCGAGAAAGGAAGGTCCGCGCAGCGCCCAGCACCTCAGGCATCCATGCTGGCTGAGTCTTACCCCATGTACCCGCCCCGAGTGCACGCCTCCAGCCGCGCCCCCTCCTCCAGAAATGAAGCCTTCCGAACCCCCGGCCTGAGCCGCCGCACTCCCCCACCAGCTGCACCGCACCCCGGGCCCCAGCCCTAGACCACGCCTTTCCAGACCCTCCTTCCCGCTGGGGGAAGCACCGGTGCAGGCCTCGCTCACCAGCAGCAGCGGTACAGGGCAGTCCAGCCCTCCGCCGCTCAACGACGCAAGAACTACAGTTCCCACAATCCCCGCAGACCCCGCCTTCCAGTGGTCGCCCTGAGAGCCACTTCCTGGCCGCGCGGTTAATTTACCAACGCAATGGCTATTTCAATGACGGCTACCCTCTCTTTTCATAAAACACCTATGCATAAAACAAGATGTGGTTCCGGAGCGAAGTCTCTGTCTCCCCTGCCCATTCGCCGGAAGAACCACATTCTCCAGAAGCCCCTGCAGCTGCTTCCGCGGGTGGCTTCCAGGTCCCGCCCCTCTGCGCGCCGGGTCCAAGCGGCGAAGGCCTTTCCGGTTGGCGTGTCAGGCTTGCCTTTCAGCTTTTCTATTTCCTTCCCCGACGGAGCTAAATTCCCTGGGCTTAGGCTCAGCAACATACACACCACCATCCGTGAGCGCCATCTAAGTTTGGCTTCCTGCTGCCCGCGCACCCCTGTGGTCATCGCCATTTTACTTGCGGGAGAAACAGTCTAGGAAGGCAAAGCGAAGTCTCCCGAAGTCTCAGTTAAGCCAGTTATCCTCAACTCCAGCGCTCTCCTTTGGATGCCGTGTAGTCATCTTCCTCTCGTCCAAGTGGCCGAAGTTAGTGACAAACTCTCATCCAGTTCCTAGAGGATGGAAGGCTCACTCAGGCTGGAGCCTGGCTCTCCGGCCTTTTATCTAGGACCCGGGTTAACGGTTACACCGGTACTGTCAGCTTTTTAAAAAATTGCCAGTTATCTTACCAGCAAAATTAGTTTATTGGGTTCTCTCTCGGGGGTAATTGTTCCAAGAGAAGTTGTAAATTGGTTGTGTCCGCGGGAGGAGGTGAGTTCAGAGTCCGCCTATGCTGCCATCTTAACACCAACTCCCTCAGTTTATTCGGGAATAGCCAGAGGAATTGCAACTCAGGAAATGCAAGTTATGACGGACCATAGGCAAATCCAGGGAACAAAAGTGGGGCCCCAGCTTGCCTTTGTAGAGAAAAAGGGAAGTTGAGAGGGGTTGTCCTAAGTGGAAGATCATCGGAGGAGAGTGAGAGTTCAGGGCGGCAGTGGCTTCTCATTGGCGGAGCTGCTGCAGTTTCCAGTGGCTGAGCTTGTTGCGCAACGAGTAGAAAATGTTCCTTCCTCCTGTAAAGCAGAGAACCCTTCTAGTTGGAGATGCGAGGGAGTCTTTCCTGTTGGGGTAATTGACAAGGAGTGGTCGGGTGTGAGAGCTCCCTCTACAGGCCATCCTGACTTCAATTTTAGTTGAGGTTCCCTCTACTGGTTTTCACCTTCGGTTGGAAACACGCCAATTGGGGATTTGCAAAGCAGACCTATTTCAGTTCATAGGAAGAGCATTTACATTGTAATGGTAAATGAAAATTAAATTTAGTTTTCACTGTTTCCAAAACGGAAATAGACCGTTTCCTCCCTCCCTTTTCTCGCAGTATTTTCTTGAGAAACCCATTTGTAAATGTACCCCTTTGATATGTATGTAAATCTTTTTAAAGGCTGAAAAGTATCTGCCTGCTTTATAACCTAGGAATATTTTTCTTAAAGGCTTGGGAGCCATCTCTTTTAAATGTAAACGTTAAGGGAGATAGTGCCCTGTCACTGTGAGAGTTTAGCTTAGGTGCCTACTTCCAAACCATAACCACCTGCTTCCCTCAGAGATAGGAGACGTTTTCTTTTTCTTTCAAATAAAGGCAATTAACTAGAAGAGGTGGCTACCCCAATTACCAGGTAAATTTAGGATGAACTGTGAAAAAAATCTACAGCAAACCATGTTGTCAAATCCTCTTATAAGAGGACAAATTACCTTTAATCTTGAGAACTTGTTTCTAATGGGTTGTATCTGCTTGACTATATAAAAGTGGAATTTCTTTCTGTCTTTGCAATCTCATTAGCAGATTGCCTGTGACGTGTTTCACAGTCTGGTTTAACACTTATTCAATGATAAAACTATTTTCTTTCTTTCCCACGTTTGTGAAGAGATTTTCTGGGTTGGCAAGAGATTTTATTTTAATCTTCTTCACCACCATCTCTCCCATTTCTCTTCACCTTCCCTATATCAGCCTTCTGAGACTTCTCTGTTGTCCAGTCTCAGGAGACAGAGAAAATGGCCAGGAGGCCACTGTGAGCCAGGAGCTAGATAAGAATTTCCTGAACGTCTGTCCTGGCTCTTGCAGAATGGACTCGTTCCTTTCTGTTGTCTTGGAGGCAGCAGGTTCGTACCGGACAGAATCCTGCCCTGGATCTCGAGACCTCCCTCTCAGCATCCCTCTGTGCTCCATTGTGACTGTTATTCACCACGTGAACAACATCCAAGAAGCAGTTTAAATAAAAATACAACAGAGGTGATGCCAGTGAAAATGAGTAGGTAGCTCCAAAGATTCATCTCCCCACAAAACATGATAAATTAAGCAAAAACCATCAGAATCAACTTTGTCAGAACTCTGGATAATAGTCAAATGTTTACAGAAATCAAGTGAGTGATGAATCAAGAAAATGACAACTCAAAAATGGTAGGAAAACTCGGAGAAAATATTTGGAAAAGACCAAGTATCAAAAAATATTTGATAAAGGACTGTTATCTAAAATATACAAAATCTTAAAATTCAACAATAGGAAAACTAACGACCCAACTTAAAAATAGGCAAAAGATCTGAACAGACACCTCACCAAAGAAGATATACAGAAGGCAAAAAAGCATATGAAAAGATGCTTAACATCATATGTGATGGGAATTGCAAATTAAAACAACAATGAGATTTCACTACACTCCTATTAGAATGGCCAAAACCCAAAACACCCAGACAACACCAAATGCCGGAGAGGATGTGGAGCAACAGGAGCTCTCACTCAGTGCTGGTGGGAATGCAAAATGGTACAGGCACTTTGGAAGACAGTTTGGCAGTTTCTTGTAAAAGTCAACATACTCTTCCATATAATCCAGCAGTTGTACTCCTTGGTATTTATCCAAAGGACCTGAAAACTTATGTTCACAGAAAAACCTGCACATGGATATTTATAGCAGCTTTATTCATAATTACCAAAACTTGGAAGTAACCAAGATGTCCTTCAATAGATGATGGATGAACAAACTGTGGCACATCCAGACAAAGGAATATTATTCAGTACTAAAAAAAAAAAAGAATCAAGCCATGAAAAGACATGGAGGAATCTTAAGTGCATATTATTAAATGACAGAAGCCAACCTGAAAAGGCTACAAACTGTATGATTTCAACTATATGACGTTCTGGAAAAGGCCAAACTATGGAGACAGTAAGAGGGTCAGTGGTTGTCAGGGTTTGAGGGAAGGGAGGGATGAAGAGGCAGAGCATAGAGGATTTTTAGAACAGTGAAACTATTCTGTGTGGAACTATAATGGTGGATATATGTCATATATTTTTCGACACCCATATATTGTGCAACACCATTAGTGGACCCTAATGTAAACTATGATCTTTGGGTGATAATGATGCATCAATGTAGGTTCATTGATTGTAACAAATGTACCACTCTGGTGTGGATTTGGATAGTGAAGAAGGCTGTGCATATGTCGGGGCAGGGGATATACGGGAAATCTCTGTGCTTTCTGTGCAATTTTTCTGTGAACCTAAAACTGCTCTTTTAAGAAAGAGCCTGTTTTTTAAAAAAAATTTTAAATGCAAAGTTCCTACTTGCCTGGCCCCATTCTCCTCCCTGGCTCAGTGGTGGTCTTGAAGATGGTAGCCCACATTCACAGTGTAGGGCCCTAGTCCCTGCTTCCAGAGGGAGCAGAGCAGAACTTATTCTCAAAGAATCATGTTTGTCTGTTCTAGCCTGTCAAGGGGCTACCTGAGGGACTGACACAGGCACCTGCCTTTGTTTTGCCTAATTCAGAACTCACTCGGAACACAAAAGAAGTTATGCAGAGAGCATTCCCCAAAACACGAGAAGGCAAATGAACAAGCAGCTACCATCTGGGCAGAAGATTTCAGCTGAGGCAAACAGCAGAGTGCTGAGAGCCTGGGAGGACAAGCTGAGGAGAGAATTTCTCTGGGGTTGGCCCAGTGGTGTAGTGGTTAAGTTCACACACTCTGCTTCAGCGGCCTGGGGTTCGTGGGTTCAGATCCCAGGTGCAGACCTACACACCACTCATCAAGCCATGCTGTGGTGGCATCCTACATACAAAATAGAGGAAGATTGGCACAGATGTTAGCTCAGGGACAATATTCCTCACCAAAATTAATTTAATTAAATTAAAAAGGAAATTAGAGCATTAAAATGCTCCTGTGAATACTGGGTAATTTCTTTCCCCCTTCCCCTAGGGGGACTCCTTAAAGTGTATTCTTTTTTTTTTTTTCCTTGCATTTGATGCTTTTTGGTGAGGAAGATTGGCCCTGAGCGAACATCTGTTGCCATTCTTCCACTTTTTCTTCCTCCCCAAAGACCCAGTACATGGTTGTATACTCTAGTTGCAGGTCATTCTAGTTATTCTACGTGGGATGCCACCACAGCATGGCTTGATGAGCGGTGTGTAAGTCTGCACCCAGGATCCAAACTGGTGAACCCCGGGCCACTGAAGCAGGGTGTGCAAACTTAACCACTATGCCACTGAGCCAGCCCCAATAATGAGTAGTTTCAAAAGCTATTCATGTGCCCAGAGCAGGGCACATGCTCAGAAAGGACCAGAGAAGACCCTAAGCTTTTACCTCCGGTTGATCTCTAGGCTCATTATAAACAGAAAATGAAAGCTAAGACAGAGTTGTAAACAGCCTGTCCAGGCTTGGAAGGAGCCCACAACACAGAGCCAGTCTGCAAAGACTGGGAGTGGGTGTTTATTCCTTTTGTTTTCCTTTCTACCTGCTCTGGCCCCTTTCCCCTCCCTGGCTCCGTGGTGTCTTGAAGATGGTAGCCAGCATTCACAGTGCAAAGCCCTTTAGTGAATTTCCATTTCAGTCATTGTACTTTTCAACTCTGGAATATCTGTTTGGTTTCTTTTTATAATCTCTATCTCAGAATTTGTTTTATTGGGAATTATAAGCAATTATAGTGGATCAAGGCAGTATTTGTGTAAATGAGGGCATAATTACACATGTTCTCAAAAGAACCTTCTTGTTGCTAGTAAAATCAAAGTAATCTGAATCCAGGCAGTATTTGAAAAAATAAGCAGTCTAATGTAAAGAGGCTCAATATCATATATATTGTATTTTTTAAAGAAGCAGTGTTAGTAAACACAAGCTCAGTCATTCTACTCAATTTCTTATTGCTGGTTAGAATAAACTGAGATTAACATAAACTTTGTTTAAACAAACCAAATGAGAATCATACATTCATCACAAGTGCACTTTCTTGCTCTGTTAAAGCTAGTTTTGACGTTTATAAAAATGAACTCAGAGTCACATATTGCTCTTAATAAAATTTCAAACGTAGGCAAAAGCACTCAAAAGATTTCTTATTGTGATATGGAGGAATTATAATGTACCGAAGCAGGGTTTGTGTCAACAACCCCGTAATTACACACTATTTTATTTATTTATCTGTTTATTTATTTATTTATTTATTTATTTGAGGAAGATTAACTCTGAGCTAACATCTGCTTCCAATCCTCCTCAGGGTTTTTTTGGGGTTTTTTGTTTTTGTTTTTGTTTTTTTGCTGAGGAAGATTGGCCCTTAGCTAACATCCATGCCCATCTTCCTCTATTTTATATGTGGGACGCCTGCCACAGCACGGCTTGATAAGCAGTACCTAGGTCCGCACCCAGGATCCAAACCAGCAAACCCTGGGCTGCTGAAGCAGAGCACGCAAACTTAACTGCTGCACCACTGGGCAGGCCCCTACACGCTATTTTAAAAGATCCTTTTTATTTAGGGTTAAAGCGAACTAAGAATATAAGAGTGTTTGTGAAATCAGCTCAGAATCATTTATTATTCTCCAAAGAACATTCAAAAGTACTCCAAAATACAAAATTATTCAAAAACACTCAAACTCTAACTTCTTTTTTGTTGTTAGAATTACTACTGTTACCGAGATAACTAGATAAATCACTTAAACTAGTTAATATCACTTAAGTTAGTTAAGTGATAACTTAAGACTCATGTACGTTCTGGAGCTTCTCTTTACTT